ACTTTTATCAAGAAAATTCAATAAAAATATGTCTTATGATTCTTTTTTTTATGATATTAAGAATACTTCTTTTAAGTGTCATGATACTTCCAAGTTTGAGTTCAAGAATAATTTACTCTATTTCAAGGGGCAATTATACATTCAAGAAGATAAAGTATAATTAAGTATTCTTTAAGCTTGTCATAACTTTCTAATAGTCAAATATTTTGGATACAATAAGATTTTATAAATAATATTAAGAAATTTTTTGTGGCCTAAAATATAAAAAGTAATTAAAGACTTTATATAATCATGTGATATTTGTTCGAAATCAAAAACTTCATGTCATCAATTTTATGAATTTTTCTAGCCATTACCTATTCTAGAACAAATATGGTCTTCTATTTCTATGAATTTTATCACACATCTTTTAATCTCAAATTTGTATGATTCTATATTCATGATAGTAGATTATTTTACTAAAATGGCACATTTTATACCATGTACAAAATCTATCATAAGTAAAGAAATAGCTAAGCTTTTCTTAACAATATCTATTGTTATTATGGATTGTTTAAAGATATTATATTAAATAGGAGGACTCAATTTTTATCAAGATTTTAGATAATTCTTTTCAAGATTTTAAAGATGGATATAAAACTTTCTTTGACTTTCTATCCTCAAATTGATGAACAAACAAAATAGGTGAATCAAATTTTGCAGTAATATTTGAGGTATATCATCAATTATCATTAAGATGATTGAACAACTCTTTTGCTATTAGTAAATTTTGTATATAATAATTAGATACATTCTTCAACTCAAAAAATACCTTTTTTTTCAATTATAATTATCATCTATAATTTGATATTTTTAACTTTTCAAAAGTTGATAATCTTGCGGCACAATATTTGACAATTTATTTTGCAGAGCTACATCCAACAATGAAGGCATATTTAAAGAAAGTTCAAGAACAACAAAAGATCAATGCAGATGCCTATTGCAATGAATAACTACAATTCAATGTGAGTGACAATGTATAACTATTTTGTCACAATATCAAGGCTATTCATGCTTGTGATAAGTTAGATTATAATAGGCTTAGACTTTTTCTATTAATAAATAAGTCAATCACATTGCTTATTGATTATATCTATTGGAGTCTATGAAGATCTATCACATATTCGACATGTCTTTTCTTAAGCCATATAAGACAATGAATATCTCAAGAAGAAGACAAATGCCTCTTCCTTCTATAGAAATGGATAATAATGAAGAATTTGAAATAGAAGAAGTTATAGATATAGCGAGATACCAAAGTAGATTAAAATATCTTGTTTATTGACATAGATATGATATTAATAAATATACATTAGAGCTAACAAAAAATCTTACAAATACAATAAAGAAGGTTGAGGCTTTTCATTGACAACATCCATTAAAACTAAGATTAAGAATTGCAAGATCTATAAAAGATGATGACTTCTCCTTATTGTTGTATTTTGACTTCTCCTTATTTGAAAATATACCAATGTCTTATAGCTTGATTTTCTATTTGAAAATGTATTAGGTACGTAGTTATAGAAAGTGTAGCTTTAATTTATTGGATAAGTTCAAATAAGTGATGTATTTTTATTATAGAATTCAAATAAATAAAATAATATCAAAAAAATATTATATTAATAAAATCTTTTTATATTTAATAAGATTTATACATAAGGCTTTTAAAAGCATCTAGAAATATCCTAAAATCCTTTGCTATATCAAGTCATAACTAAATTATTTGCTAATAACCTTGACTTCCAATAAGCTCAAAGAAAATCCATAATTTCTTTACAAAAATCTATCTTTATACCATAACTTTTTCATAGCTCTATATTTCCATCTTTAATATGTATATAAAGTCTTGGCTTTCAAAACCTCCTTTATTTTGTATAAAATATCCAAATTATAGCAAAACCCTTTCAAAACATTTTTCTCCTACAAAGGATTTTTGTCTCCAAACTTCAGAAATTCATATTTCTTGATTCAACCATTTAATTTTTTTCAAATTTTTAGATAATTTAGACTTTACTTTTAAGCTTTACTACAAAAAAAATTAACTAAAAATATACTACAAATTTTTTGGAATCTTAGAAATCTTAACACATGCTCTAAATCCTAATTTATAAGCACCCAAATACTATTTTCTTCATATTTCAAAAATCCAAAATCCAAATGCTATAAAATTTGTGTATAAAGTTTAGTAGCATGATAATTGTATTATGTTGTGATTCAACTATCATGTGAAAATAATATATATATATATATATATATATATATATATATATAAAATTTATTATACAATGTAATCAAAGCCATGTTATTAGATTTTAGTTGGTTATAAAATGTGATTTTTCTTTGCAAGCACTAACTTTAATTAATGAGCTTCAATAAGCTGTAATTCCTAATTTAATTCTCGACTTGGTACAAAATTTTGTACAAAAATATTGCTATAAGTTTTCCACATGTTCAAAAAAATTCAGCTCAATCTAATTTAAATATTGTGAGAAAACACCCAAAAAACTACACTAATATCACTTGGCTACTAATTCAAAAGTTAATGCAGATGTTCCAATAGAAATTTCTTCTTCTCTAATTTTTAACTTCATCTCAAAATTAATGTATAGCTTGATCTTTAAGTCTATTAATACCATGATAAATTTCACCTTATTTCAACAAGTAGATCTTCAAAAATCATAGAAATCCTATCCAATCTCAAACTGTCAACTTTTGATACCTTCTTGTATCAAAAACTAAATATCTCCTAACCAAATTATTAAATTAACACAAATTTTTATGCACAATTAGGACATCCAATCAACTAAGTATTATTGAATTTTGAATTGTAGATGTAATACCAATTGCATGAATTAGCCATGAGTGCTAGTCCTAATTCTATTACTTAAATTCAAAGTCACCAATATAAATCCTAATTTTGAAAAATAATTTCAAAGTCATTGCAAATTTTATAAAAACAAAAACCTTCAAATAGTTTAGATTTCTTATTGTGTTGACTTTTTCTACAACTTAACTAAGAGTTTTATTAATCAATTAGAAAATAATAAGTCTAATGCAACTAAATCCTTATTTGTAGGTACAAAAGCTTTCATATATACTACAAAAAAAGAGTCACATTTGTCATTTAATTACACCTATTTTTAAGAGTAGAAATGCTTAAAATAATATTCATCTTAATCAACTATAGTATGATAAAAAATTATAAACATAAATCTTATAATCAATAGCAAGATGTTATATTCTTATACTTCTATTAAAAATGAATTAAATTCAATCAAATAGTACAAAGAAAGTTGATTCTTAATTATTATAACAACAATAATATTATTAAAAATATTCTATTTGATTAATTATAACCTCTTTAAACTTCATTTTTTATATATTACAAAGGATTCAAAATAAAATGATAAAAGCTAAGCATTTACAAAAGAATCAAAAAAATTTAAGGTGACATGGTTAAGGTATAAGGCATAAATTTCTACTTATACATTATAAAGTCAATCAAATAAAATATAATCTAATAAAAAATACTATTACCAAATTTCTATGAAATAACAAAACAAAACAAAACAATAGAATAATTGGTTTTATTTTATTTTTATTTTTATTTTTGTTAATGTAATTTGAATTTTTTTTTAATAAATTAATTTTTTATATAGAATTACAGAAATTAATGCAAATAAAAATAAAAATAAAAATAAATTAGAAGATTGTTAGCTGAATATATTTTAATAGGTAGAATAGAAATAATTTAAGTTAGTAGAATTTAGTGCAAGGCAAGTTAATTGAAAAGAGGCCACTTTAGTTGTCTAATTGGATGAATTTATTTTTTATCTCTACTTGCTTAGATAAGTAAACAAGTTGGATTTAGAATCTTATTTATGAAAGTCCTATTTCAAATGGATAATGTCTTGTTTATGCTTTGATGAACCATTGAAAGAACCAAAGGATGTAAAAAATGGTATTAGAGCCTTCTTGTTTTGATTCCCTAGGTTGCTAGTAGTAGCTTTTGTTAAGATTGCAAAAAAATTAGTAAAACAACATCATATACCATTATCAACTATTTATTGATTTTTGTCATAATATGATTATTATTGTTTTAAATATGTATATAATTTTAAATTCTTATTCCAGAAAGTTATTAGTAATATACAAATAATAAACATATATTGTATGAAATACAAGATATTATAAGATGTAATTAATATTTAATAATGTTGGATACAATATGTATTAGAATTTTGAATACCTTCAAATTTTTAATAATTATTATATCATATTACGTATAATTTTTACCTTTTAATATGTTAATAATATATAAATATAATAAGAATAATTTAATTCAAATATAGAGTAATGCATTAGAGATTTGAAAATTGTTAAAATGTTTGGATTTAATAACATATTGGATCAATCATCTATCTTTTGAAGTTTAGAAATCATCAACAATTTATATACAATGATTTAAAACTTAATATTAACTTTTAAGCTTTATTTTTTAAAAATAGAATGTAATTTCTAAATTATGTATTTTAGTTTATTACTTTAAAAATAGAAATATTCTGGTTCTAGTTTTTGTTACGAAATTTTGCTATTGAATTGCAAACCATTATTGCTAATGTAGCACCATTCCTGCTATATTATAGTAATTTAAGGTCATTCTTAACCATTTCTTTATTTTATTTTGGGCGCCTTCAAGAAGTGGAGACCAAACCCAGCAGCAAGAAGGGGACCAAATTTCACCCCGAGTTTTTGGCTCAGCAATATGGTACGACACGACTCACCCTGAGTTTCGCCATAGAATTGCTGTCGCGGCTGGAGGTAGAAATCGGCAACGCAGAATGGAAATGAGCAACGATCAGCGCGGCGATGGAGATTGCCAATCTCGCCACGACCAGCTTTTGTACGACCGACTTCTTTTCACGACTTGTGAATGGCGGGGGAAGTCCACCAGACATGAAACACCGGACATGATTTGAATGTCTGACTGACTGGGACTGTGGTTGTCGATTCACCATCCTTTTCACCGCTCGCGGAAGTGACGCCCCTTCAACCCAGTTCCGTGTCGTCGCACTTGCTGAGATTCCATGCAAGCAGTTAGCTCGCAGCGCTAATGTCGTGACCAAATTTAAGTCCAGCGCTACCTTCTATATTTTGGTATCCGAATTTGGCCACTTCCTCTACAAACTGGAAACCAGATTCGCCACAATGGCTAAGTTATCTCCTCGCGCTGGATCGCATGTTATAGTGAGGTTTTTTGAAGAAAGAAAGAAAGAAAATTATTCCCCTTGTGGAGGTGGTGCTAACTAGGTCACTAACATCGTATTACTATGATCGTTGTAGTATATTGCTATAGGAAGGATATTGGGTTCCGTTTTGTGAGTGGACTCGGACTGATTCTATCGCAATCTGTGTTTCAACCTTCGGACCTGAAAATCGCCGTTGAGGGATCATAACGTCCCACCCAATTGTGAAGGAATCAATCGCCTGCAACTTAATTACCACGGACCTTCGACAGCAACCATTCTTTGTCGCAGCTATACCGGTGCCTACTCTGAACCGTTTGCGCTGAAACAGTATATAAAGTTGCTGCGATAGCTGCCAGCTGAAGGCAGCCTTCGTCCTCCCAGACTTTCGAAGAAGGCAGCATATGTGATATATTGTACAAAGGTCGTGTGACTTGGGGATTGGCTCTTCCGCTTTCTGCTGCGCTCGCCTCATCCAGGGGAAGACAATTCGAATTTTGAACGCTGCTGGGCTTACGCCATGGCTATGACAAGCTCGCTGCTGTGCCTTTTTCTCTTCTTCCATTTATTCAATCGTATTGTAACAGGTTCGATTTTCTTTCCCAATTACATTAAGCAGGGTGGTGTAATTGCTGTTGGTTAAGCTCTGTAGCGAGAAAGGGCATTGTGATGAGGGTATGTAATCGCAATTTGAGGCGCTGTGATTGATGTTTTATGCTCTCTAGCAACTGATTGTATTGGTTTTTTATGACGACTTCCAGATGCAGAGGGGGTTACATTCACATTTGTCAATCGGTGCAAATTTCCTGTGTGGGTGGGAGTACAACCCAATGGAGGGCTGGCTATCCTGGCCGACGGTGGGTTTGAGTTGGGCGCCGGCAAGCAAGATGCCATAACTGCGCCAGCATCCTGGGGTGGTCGATTTTGGGGACGCACGGGTACATGCTGACTTCGTGAAGTGTGCCTTATCAGCATTAGGATGAGATTGATTGGTAGATTGATTAATGGGAGTGATTGCTAGGCTCATCATATTCTACAGAGTATTGATTGCTTACGAACTTATTGTTACGGTTTAAATTGGCTTCAGGCTGCGAATTCGATAGTGCTGGGAAGGGGACGTGTGATACTGGAGATTGCGGGGGCGCGCTTAAGTGCGGTGGCTCCGGCGGCAACCCTCCTGCGACCCTGGCGGAAATCACACTTCACGGTGCTGACGGCAATGACTTCTACGACATCAGTCTGGTGGATGGTTACAACCTGCCGCTGGCCATGACGCCTGCTGGAGGAACTGGGAAGTGCGGTGCCCCTGAATGCTCCAGCAACTTGAACGATATGTGTCCCGAAGTTCTTCAGGTGTGCGTTTTGGTTGTGGCGACTCTTTCGGTCATTGTAATTCACTTGTTTCTGTCCTCTCCGTGTAAGATCAAACCCAGGGCTCTGTCTCCGACCACCTTCGTGGTACTGCTGGTTGTCCTTGACATGGAAACCTCTTAACAAAGTTGCTCCAACCACATCCATGACGCTTTTTTTAGCTCCATGTTCACTACATTAGATTGTTCTAGGAAAAAATTTCATGGTCCTTACAGACGTTTAACAGGTTCTTGAGATTACTGAAAGTTCGATTATTCGAAGTACTTCACTCTTAACCTTTGTCGATAGTCCTGCTCAAACCGACAACCGAACAAGTGTATTCTTGTTCTAATTGTGGATGTTCATAATGTCTTGAGCAGTTTCTTTCTGAGGGTTCAGTGATTGGTTGCAACAGCGCATGCAACGCGTTTAGCGAGCCTAAGTACTGTTGCACTGGGGCGCATGATCAACCCGCCACATGCCCTCCAACTCAATATTCGAACGCGTTCAAGAATGCCTGCCCGTTAGCGTACAGTTATGCATACGATGACGCCACCAGCACTTTCACTTGTAAAGCAGCGAATTACGCTATCGCTTTCTGCCCTAATGGTACTTGATTCTGTACTCAGCTTGTACTAGGATCCACATTCACTGTAATTTATATCATTTGATCCTTGGGGCAAACTGATGGAATTGAATTTACCCTGTCCATATGACTGAAATGGGATTTGATTCTGTTCAGCGGAGCCACTACTTCATAGGACGAGTAGTGAAAGTGAAGAATGCCTGTTAAGGAACTAGTGGCACATTGCTCTTGTTGTAAGTAGATTCAGATTGAGGTTATTTCTAAACGATTTCCAACTTTTAGTTGAAGTTGGTGAGAGATCAATCTGAGAATCGGTTCTCCTAGTCATAATGTTTTTATTTGGATTCACAGGATCACCAGTGGCTAGATTAGGCAACAACACCACCACAGGGGATTCAACTTCTCAAAGGCAAACGTCTCCAGATCAACTTCCTGGGAATCCTTCTGTAATTGACCAGTACGGTACCGGCACTGGTGCAGGGGTTCGTCATTTGGCTCATATCGTACACATTTCAATTCTAGGCATAGCAACACTCTTCACATTGCTTGGTAAGAAGCAATACAAGCTCAGATTATAATTTGAATCTTTTTTACTTACTTTCAATCATGTTCGAGTAAGCATTTGCAACTTAAAAACTTTTATGAATGTGGGTGCAATTACGATTGTGTGTGTGCCTTTTTTGTGCGCAGGATAATGAAGGAAACTCACAGTAACGCTGGTATTGAACTCTTTTGATGTGAGCGTTTACAAATAAACTTATTGTGTACCAGATGCGGACCTAACTTTAATTGGGCAATTCGCAATGTAGAATGTCACAGGTTTGGACTGGGCTCGGGTCTGACAGAAAACACTCGCTCCGTCATGAGGACATGGATCATCTGGAGAGTAAAAAATTCCTACTATACTCACTGAAGTATTACATTGCACTTAGAAACTGTAGTCTGTCATTGTTCATAGTTTTAGGGTCGAAGTTGCTTCTGTAAGTACCTTCTTAATTTGCATAATTAACACTTTATGCCGTCCCCTACTGTCACCAGCAGTCGAGATTTGAACTTCAGAATTAGCAAAACATAGCCTCTGATAAATTGTAGACTAGTATGTAGAAGCGAAGCAAATGCCTGGAGTGATACATATATCAACAAGTAGGCTAGAAGTTGGGAATCATCACAACTGCTGTGATACCCCGAGATACCCTGAGATATCCTGGGATGCCCCGACACCCAAAAAAATACATCGCAGGTCGAACCTTCAGTGACCATTTGGCAATGCCGTACCTGGCGATTTATACAAACAGAGATGCTTACTAACGAGTTGATTGTATTCTTGGTTACACACTTGTGAAATAAATTAGGGTACATCTTGTTTCATATTTGGTGTTACATAACATCCATAAGAAAATTAGCATGCTTAGAATGGAATTTGGATTGGTATCATTATTCTTCTGAAGAAAACTTCAGTTTACACACTTTCAAACGAAAAGTGCACTACTTTTTTGGCATAGATGACAGCATAATCTTTTGTTAATTCGTTCACATATATTGAAATATACCTATTTATATGTATCTGCAATTGTACATATTGTTTGAATTTGAATTTGTATTTTAATATACAACCCTGAAAACCCTATTTTTCTGCGATTGTAAGTGCTGCTTGAGTCATTAGAATTACTCTTTTCCTTTTCGGATTGGCTTAGTTCTCATTATCTCAGGTTTGTTTAAAACCTATAAAATTCTCTGACTCACTTCTGATATATGACGTTAAAAATTTTAAAATACGTCCAGTCGGTACCCAGCATTGGATTGGAAGGAAAATAGAGCTTGATTAATCAGGGTTAGCTGGGAAATATTTACTGTATATACCCGTAAAATACCTGTACCCGGATGATATTGAGGTTCTCGAAGAGTAGTACACCGTCTCCCCAACAGACACCCTGTTTTCCTGACACCCCAGTAATGAACGGACAAGCCAGACTGTTTTGTGTTCGAGGCGTACTACGGCGTCAAGGCCTTCCGTGGAGGAGCACCAGGTCTTCGAACCGATCGGTCCCTCGATCATTCGATAAACATTGAAGCGCCATGGCGTGTCTGGCGCTGTCGTTGCAGCCCGTCAACGGTGCCGATGTGCTGCTCCAAACGTAAGCCCTCCATTCTTGCTCTTGAACATTTGCTGTGCTGCAGAGATTTGTTTTCTCTTTTCGATTTCCCCTTTTTTTCATGGTTTGAGAGTCATGTCAGTAGTGCAACTGCAATATTCTCTTCTGGAGCAATGTAGGTGGATAGGATTCCTTGAAGATTGTGAAGAATGGAGGAGATCTCTTAGATCGGTCTTTCTGTCCCCCAGAGAAGATGATTTGAGTTTCGGGAGATCAATCTCAGTGTTGGATTAGGTTCGAGTGAGTCCTATACAGATTTGGGAACTTTCTAGTTCTACTTTCAGGTTATGTCAGCTTTATGAGGAATAGAATAGAGCTGCGACATCAGAATATGATTAAGAACTGGATTAGGAGTGTAAGAGTATTGGCTATCCTGAGTTAGGGTTATGCGTAATGGGATGCAGAGGAAACTGGAATATTTTATAATATCTTTCTAGCTGTGAGATTGCCAATATTGTCGTATTTGAGGTGCAACAGATTCTTGCTGAATGCGCCCTCTCAAAGTTTTCATTCAAAAGCTTTGAAGTACGTAGAGTGGATCTCATTGGAGGGCTCTAGTTTAGAGAACTGGAAAGTGGTGTATGAGGCAATTTGGTTCCTAGGCTTGGTTGGAGATCATACCGTGCTCTTTTTGTTCTTTTACATGCCATGACTATTTTTCACAGCTAGATTCTAGAATCTAACTGCTCGGCTTTATATGAGTAACAGACATCCGACTAACCAATTAATTGCCTAAAGAATGGGACGATTAGGAGAAATAGGGAGGCATTCTGGGTTACTACCAATCTCCTCTGCTTCATGCTCACTACTTATAAATGAGCTTGATCGATTTAACGTCGAGAATATTGGCTCTTTAGCCACGGCGGAAGACCTGATGACATGGAGGAATTAATTATGTATGGTGTGGCAGCCATTAAATCAAATAATTAGAGGATTTAGCTTACTGCATGATTTAATTTAGTTATAGATGAAGAGTAACGAAATAATATCACAAGTCCTCTTGTGAAAGATAGCGATATTTACATATTTGAGTACTCATATCGATCTCTCACGACAGAAACATGCGCAAGTCAGAAATATTTTTGTGAATGTATTATTTCCGGACTGAATGACTACTTCGGTTCGGCTTGGTTTATAGACAGTTGGTATTGTTCTTGCCGTTCCCACGATGTTTACATTGTGTGAAAGTGTAAACCATTTGATCATTGGAACTTTATCTCGTTGTCATGACCTGGTCCTTCGTATTTTAATACAGTCGAGAGTGGTTTCCACCTGCGAGAGCTGCCCTTGCCACGTACAGTTTCCGGGTCACGCGACTTGCCTATGCCAATAACAAGCACGATCCACTCGATGGCCTTGGACCAGGGTAAGTTCTTTCAGTTTCTGTTTTGCCACCTTTTAGTACCATCTCACTATCTGGTATCCGATGTCTTTTGAAACCAATGACTTGTACGGAACTGATTGACCCTATTAGTGATGTGCTTCTTCAGATGGTTATTGTCTATATTATTCTTGATTACTTGATTTTTCAGGTAGACGGTAGCATAGCTTTATTCAAATTCTGGAGGTATTTTTTAGTGAATAGTATGCAATTTGTTTTGCTTCGACATTGTTTCACAGATGTTCTTGCTGGTTGTGGCGCTACGCTTAGGTTATGACATGTCGATTAAGTGAGTGGGGGTTGTGGCATCTTAATTGATCCGAATTATTCTACCTGTTCGTTTATATAATATAACTGTACGTTTTTCAAATTAAGGTTGGGGGATGAAGCTTTGGCAGCATCAAGTGGACAAGTGGTGGTTGGTAAAGAAAGCAAGTAAGAAAGTTTTTTTGTTCTCTTCTTTGGTCATTGAATGCTGCAGTGTATTAACACAATGGTGTATAGGTATCATCAGAAGTTATTTGAGCACATCGTATAGTATGTGTCTAATTGTGGAGTCCATGCATTATGGCAGGTTTCGAGTTGTATACAGACTGGTGAATACTGTGTATGTATTGGGCATCACTAGTGCGGACCTGGACGATGACACCAACATATTTGAGTGTGCAGGCACTGTCAACCAAGCTGTCAGGTGTCTTTTTATATGTCCTTTACCAATTTTAAAATCAACGTCTGTGAAGGATTGTTTTGTAGTTACAGATCAACCGAGTGAGATGCCAAGGCTCTGATTCATTTGTGATTCTAGGAAACAATCTGAATTCAAAAACTTATTTATTTATTTTCTCTTGTTAAATCACATAAATTCTGAGCTAATAAACGAAATAGAACAGAAAGGTACTGGTCGATTATGTAAGAAAAAAAACTTGGAATCTTATCCAGTTCTCAATCTTTTTGCCAAAAACAGGTACAATTTAAGTTGTGTATGAAGATAAGTACGAGGACAACAGGAAATCATTTTGTTGTCCTAACTTTTGGTGCTCTAGTTTTTAATAGCTGGTCCTTCATACAGGTACTGAAAATAATTTAAAGGGTTGTAGAACATTATTTTTGCTTTCTTTCTGATACTTGTTGCAATATTTGTGGAGACAGTGTCCTTGTTGCGGCTTGCAAAGGTGTCGATGTTACGGCAGACAAAATTAGTCGGAAGTACACTGAGGTAAGCAGGTTCGTTTCTTATATATCAGTGCATCTGATTCTTCAGGATGTCACATTGAACTTAGCCTTTTTTTGTTTAACTGCTAGGATGAAGCTGTCCGGAAGCGCATCTAGGCCTGTAGTCTAGTTGCTTAGTCTTCTTTTTAAGCAATTTAAACCCTGTAGGGCACTCTCTGAAGGCAGGAGATGTAACAAAACACTCTTGCTTGGCCCCAACTAGTGCTTTAAATTTTTTTAGGCCATGACGGTTCATTGTTTTCAGACTTTGACTTTATGCGTATGAATTTTGGATTTTGTGTAGGTGTATATGGCTTTGGATGTGGTACTTCATGGCGTGAGTGCAGCACGGTTGTCGACAATCTTAGCCACGTTTCATGGAGAGTCTGTGAACAACATGATAACCTCTGCAACGGAAATCGAAAACAAAGCACGTGGAGCAGATAGCTGGAATCAAGTGAAAACACACTCTCTTGATCGTCTGTCCAATGTCGAGGTGAACGCTTCTCTTTGGAAATTTTAATTTTGTAATCCGGTTTGAATTAGCTTCATTATGCATAATTGCGTGAGTCTGGTCTGTATAAAGGTGGAGTTTCCATTTCGTAATGGGTTTGAACTCTTATGAACAGCATTTGTAGAAAGTTTACAGTGCGTTCCGTCTCAATTTTATATCAAGCAAAGTTATATTAGTGAAGTATAGCAGACCAATGTAGTCTGTTTGTCCTTAATTAGGGGTGTACAATAGTAGTGACACAAAATATAATATACATGTGTATCATTTTGCTTAGTGATCTTCTCTTCTCTTGATGCACGTTAAGTCATTCCCTGTTTTTGTAATCCTTAGGAAAGCTGCTGACATCTCTGTTACTCATTTGGAACATAGGTTCTATCAAAAATCACCTTCGATCTACCTGAAGAAACTATGGCCGCTGGGGATGAGGCTGCTGCTGCTACGTATGGAACACCTCAGTCGTCAGGGACAGGCACTTCAGTAAGTTAAACTTTCCGTACAACTTGGTTTTTAGCAGTTTGTTTACTCCTGCAAATTCCTTGCTGGCGGTGTATGATGCAGAAACTCGCGAAGTTGAGTACTCTTTAATGGATTTCGTCATCTGGATCCTTGTTGGTTTTGTATATTGGCCCGCATGTTTTTGCGTTTGTCTTGTTAGCCTCATCTTTGTTTTAAGCTAAGGTTTCACTTGAACTAATGCAATGTTCTAAAATTGGCTTCTGATGCTTGAAACTGCAAACAATCACTGCATGAGGTCCTTGTATTGAGTCTTCAAGGCATGTGAACAGAGTCATTCATTATTGTGGGTCCTGCGTTAACTGGGTTCAGTTTGTAAAATTTTCAGGGATCACAGCAATCAGATAAAAGTTCAAGCACGCAAATCGAGGATCCATTTGCAGCTAGTGATATTATCATCGATCCTGAGGCTGAATTAGCTGGAAAATTTCAAAAAACTAAAGATGCTCCTACAGATGTTATTGCTGGTCTTTCAGATCTCACGGTTCCAACTCTTCCTCCAGGTACTTGAGGATGCTTCATGTAGCTCTTCTGTGTATTTTTGCTATCACGTTGCCTTGAATTGTCTTCTGTTTGTCTATGTAGCTACTTCAAAGAAAGCAAACGACGTCTCGTCTCCCTCATCCTTTTTGTATTGTAATCGAGGATAGCCAGATGATTTGATGTTCATCACATGATATGTTTGTCTGCTATGAGTTCTGTATTTGTGCTCATACCATGATCCTCTCCAGGTGGTGACTCAGCCGAGTCTGTCAAAGTAGCAGTGGCAGGATTTGAAGGTGACTATGGTGGTGTCGCCTTCGAGGATGAATCTGGAGGGTTTGGTACTGCCTTTGAGGGTCTCAACGGAGCATTTGGAGGCGGACTTGATGCATCGGAGTTCGGAGCTACTACTTCGAAAAGCAAGGATAAGGAACTTGGTGGGTTGGGTTTGCTAGCAGGTGTCACCGCTCATCATCAGATCTCACAACTCACTCAACCGGGTACTCCAGTAGAACCGAAGGTCGCCGCTGAGCTCTCTGGAATTGATCCAAATGCAGGTAATATTCCATGCTGGTTGCAGCATGCTGGTTTTGCAGTGTACCTCACTATTTTTCTGCACTCTTGATTTGTTCAATTCTGTACACGACTTGTACGGTGCTGAAATTGGGTGGGAGATGTTCTGTGGTTCTTTGGATTGTGTAGGTGATGCCGTTCAAAAGCCAGCTGAAATTACTATTCCAGTATTATCGTTAACGGAGGAGATCAATGCCGAGTTTGAGGGGTTGAGCCTCATCTGCGTTGGTCTTCAAGGTTCCCTGCAGCTGCGAACACCTCTTCCTAAATCAAAGAATGATAAAGATATAGAATTTTCGTTCTCACTCAATCAAGTTTCTAGTATCAAGGTATGTTGTGTACAGAGCTTAATTGACCCTATCAGTCTCATGATTTACTCATTCTGTTTATGTCATGAATGTGAGTGCTAGTACTCTTTATCTTGAAGTACGTGACCTGATTCTTTTTTGAGTCTCTGCTGTGTCTAAGCATAAAGTTCTTGAGTGAGTACTGCAGAAGGCTATTTTGCGGGGAGCAGTAACAAGTAGCATGGGGAAAGGAGTATTTCATGTGCGTACTAAACCGACCGAGCAACCCATGACAATACTGAAATACCGTCTCCAACCTCAGCATACACCTGTCCCTCTGAGATTCCGGTACATTACATCTTGTCACTTGTAGAATTATGTCTTAAGTGCATTAAGAGTTATAGCAGTATTTGAACGTCCCTTTCAAAAGCATTTTTCACATTCTTTCGTTAGAGGAGTGGTGCTGATTGATCATCATCGTTTTTTATTAGAATTGCTTTGGCAAGCACATGGACACATATTTTAGCTGATTATTTATGATCATTGTCTGTTGTGCATATGCTTAAATTTGCAGGGTTCTCACTCAACAAACTGATGTCACACTGAGTGTTATGGTGCAAGTAAGCCCCCTCAATCAGAGCCTATTTTATGTTAACACAGTTTCTTGTGCCTACGAACTACACTTAATAAAATAGCTTCCTTACATTTCTGAGTTGTTTTGCAGTATGTCATCAACCCTCACTTGCAAGGTGCCTTAAAAGATGTCACTTTCATTGTGACCTTGCCCTTCGCACCAATAACGCTCAAGAGTTCTCCTAGGTTTGTTCTTAACTGGCTGCCTTATGTTGGAAGTGTGATTTGTGCAACATAATTGGAGCTGGATGAGGTATACATTCTTATCGTTTAGGCCCCTTGTGTACTCCTAGTAGGTACTTATCAAGTTTTCTATGTTTGCTGCAGAGCTGCCCTTGATCGTACGCTCAAGGAGGTGCGGTGGCTAATTCCTAGCATCGAGGTACATGAACCGTTGACTTTTAAGTTGTTTCTAGATTTCATGAAGACTCCTTTATGACGTAGAAATATTCATGTCCAATGTTTGACATTTGCTTCTGGCTCGCTTAAACTTAACTATATGAAAATGTTATGGAGTTACAGCAAGGTAAAGCTCAGAATAAGTGCAGTTTAATTCAATTTTAATGTCCAATCAGTCTAATTTTCCCCTAAGCTTGAAGTCTTGCAAGTTCCTTTGAGCAAGTAATTTAGATTTCGTTCGAGAGGATTCTATGAAGTAGAAACTCTGATCTTTATCTCTGACCTGTCATCTTGCTTAATCAGGCCGCTTCCCCTCCTGACTGGCTTCGAGCTCAAGTGCCAGTTGATGCTAAGGCCCGAAGTGAAAATGATGCCAATGGGCACGAGGAACCTAAAATTCGAGTACGAGTTCTTTTCTCTTGCTCAGGGCCAACGTTATCGGGCTTGAATATTGCTCCCATGAAAGCAGATTCTACGGACTTTATTGTCGGTGAACACTCTTTTAAGGCTGGCCAATTCCTATGTTCATAATCAGGCTTATGTGTCTTAGTTTCCGTTTTAGTTCAGGTATGTTGCATTTATTCGTACTTAGGAGTGAGCACCTCTAATTTTTCGATAGTAATAATGACAACGTATTGTAAGTGAATATTTTTCAACTGTTTGGTAATATGTAGAGAGGTACATGCTACTGTGAGTGAGGATTTTCATTTGCCAAACCTAGATTGTGCGAACGCGTTTTCTTGCATCTGCAATAGGTTGGTAGTCCCTGTGACTAAGTGTCATTCGCTGTGTGTATGCTTTTACTGTCATATTCCTTTAGACATCAGCAACTGCCCCAATAAAGTAGGTAGGACAAGAGCAGATCTTTATGTCCATGTAGAATAGGTGTTCAGTTGCGGCATAACCTACTTATGACACAATATTGGTTATCAAACTTCCTAGGTCATATTATTGACAGCATTCCAGACTCTATGCTGGTTTGGTTTTTGATTCACACATCCAAAGAGCACATCCAAGAGTTCTTTTTGTTTTTGTTATTGGCATGAAAAAGTAATAACCAGCAACTAAAGAAATCTGTGCCATTGATTAGGGCATGCAGGGCATTATTTTGTACAGCTCATGTGAAGTCCATTTGAGTTACTTCAAGAACATAGAATGATTCAAATGTTCACTTTTTAAATTTTAAATTTAAAGACCAAGAATGCAGTTTAGATCTAGTTGTTGCACCATATTCTAATTAGTGGTTTAAAATTCTAAAATGAGATAGTACATCGAGATTTATTAATGTCCACAAGTAATAAATAATATGCTTATTAAAAATGCAAATTCAAATTAAATAGCAGACGAATTCATATGAAAAGCATATATATATATATATATATATACAGTTGATAGATTAAGTTAATAAAATATTAAAAAATAGATTATAATGACAATACCATCTACTTAAGTGAATGTATTAATTATTGCAAGACAAAACAAATTTGTAGCTCTTGTAATAAATGAAATGAATAAAATATATTATAAATAAGAATTGATGGCTCGATCTTTAACGATATATTGTATTGTTTTGAGAAAATGAAAATATTTAAAGATAGAAAAGATAATATATTGAATATGGATTGGTGTCATAAATTTTATTCTAAATTATGTTGTTAATTGTAAAAAAATTGTGGTAAGATTGAAGAGGCTCTTTATGACATAACTATAAGCAAATTTAATGATTAATTTAAAAATTCTTGGTTGTAGAGCATAAATTTACCTTTAGATAGACATAAATTTAAGGATGTATTGCCTATTGCTATTTTATTACTTAAAGGCAAGGATGGACAAGAGTATTGAAAACATTCAAAGAATTGTGCTCCTTGTCATCTTCATATTAATGATTTTGTACATCTTAAAGCGGCAATTGTGCAAGATGGTCTTTCTTATTTTGTATGTAGTGAGAAGAAAAGAGCTACTACTATCCTACTGTATAATCAATGCCAATATATGTGGCATATGATATGCTTGATACCACCTCTTTTGACACTTCCTTCATGTGTTTGGATTTTTCCTTTAATGTAAAAAGTCTTCTAGCCATATCTTATCTATTGACAAGGGTTGGTTGAAGATTCTTTCTTCATATTTTTCAAACATTTTAATAGTCTAGCTACTAAAACATCAACTTGATTGCATACAATTTTATAGTAACATCATTGTGGCATTCACCTCTAATTATGTATATGTTATTATCTTAGCTAAGTCGAAGGGCTCTAAATTAGCTAGGAAGGGAAGGAAGAAGGTAGGAGGAAGCATTTAAAAGTACGTTGCTTATACACTTATATTTAATTTAAATTGCATATGTCATGATTGATTTTTGGTACTTAATATGTTATATATATATATATATATCAATTTTTATTTACACAACAATTGTCACATGATGTGGCATCAAGTGCCAAATTTTGTCAAATATATGTAATTTAGTTTAGTTTAGTGGATTTTCATCTGCATAACTTTTTTTGTTAATTGACTTTGTTAATGTCAACTAAGATTTGAAGACTTAGGTAGAAAAACCCCCTTGACTTGATATTCTTGTTAAATCAAGTCTTGTAAGTGATTTGGCAAGGGAGGATGTTTTTGTAGTAAGATGTATGTAGAAAAAATCCTAAAATTAATTTCTTTGATTGTGTGAGAGATAGTTTGATTTAGTAGTATTTAGATTTTTCATCTTTCCTTGAAAGTGTGTTGCTTGTGCATTTATATTTGGTTTAAATTGCATACTTCATAATTGATTTTTGGCATTCAAACTGTTATATATAATAATCTTTATTTATACAATACCTTGTCATCAATCTTATGGACTTCTTCAACTATATCAAAAAAAACCATGGTTGTTTGTTTCTATGGATTTTATCACAAATCTTTCAATGTCAAGTTTTTATAAGTATATATTAATAAAAATTAATTATTTCATTAAAATGACTATTTTTTTCTTTCTTTATTTATTTTTTTACCATATACAAAAACTATCACATCTGAAGAAATAAGTAGACTTTTATTTGATAATCTTTATTTCTACCATAGATTACCAAAAGATATCATATTAGAAAAAATGACTCAATTTATAAAATTAATTTTGATCTTCTATCTTCAAATTAATGGACAAACAAAACAAATGAATCAAATATTGGAGCAATATTTGAAATGTACCATCAACCACCATTAAGATAATTATACAACTCTTTTATCATTGATAAAGTTTGCTTATAATAACCCAATATATTTTTTCTATTCAATAATCAACTTTTTATATTATATGTAATTATAATCCACAACTTAATACTTTTAACTTCTCAAAAGTTGATAATCATGGTGCAAAAGATTTTGCAACTTATATATTAGAGCTACATGCAACAATGAAGGTACAATTAAGTTAAGCTCAAAAACAACAAAAGACCAATGCACATATTTATTATAAGGAACAACTTATATTCCATGTTGGTAACAAAATATGATTATTCCATTACAATATCAATAAAAATTATCTTTGTTATAAAACTTGGCCAACATGTTGGCCACTTATTTTATAAGTTGGTTATGTGGTGCACATATTAGGAACTTGTTTTATAAGTCAGATAAGTATCTTACAAGTTGGACATGTGTCGAATGACCTATAGAACATTGTTAGATAAGTCTGTAGTCAAATATGGAAGAAAGAATGAGACTTTTCTCACTCTTATCAATGCCTTTCTATTGTTCTTACCTCAAAAATCTTACCTCAAAAATCATGATAGTAATACTAAGGAATTTTTTAAAGCAATTAAGATATATTATCTATGTCCAATTATCACAAAAAAAACAAAATAGAACAAAACAAAAAATCAAAAAAACAATCTTTTGAACATTATTCTTGAGAATTGTCAAGAACTTAATAATATTTTCTTTGATTTTTTTTTTTTTTCTCAACTTTAAAAATAACAAACTAGCTCTTTAGACTCAAAAAAAAAACATCACTTCTTTCTTAAATATTACATCCAGCAAATTCAACGACATGATGAATGTAGAATTATCTTGCCTATATAATTACAAAAGAAATTGAAAAAATCTTAAAAGAAAACTTATTTGGAAATTCTTAGGGAAAAAACTGGATAAACATCTAGATTATGAGACTAATTTTTTCAAGAGATAAGAAAAATCAAAAATGTAAAAAATAAATAAATACATATTAGACTGTAGAAATAACAATGTAATTAAACAAAATTTTACAATACCACAATGTGGTCTAATAATACATGCAAATACAACTGTTTAAAAAATAATAATCATTACTTCAAGTAGCATCCTTTTCTCCACCTTTCTGGGTATTAAGGTGTCTTTTGTAACCTTTCCATTCCATCAATGTACCAAGTATATGTTGTTTCTTGTGTCAAAAAAAATAAAAATAAAAAGTGATAACAAGACAGTTTAACCACATCATGAAATTAGAAAACTAAGAGAGAGGGAGAGAAATTAATTAATTAATTAATTATAAAGAAGGGTTCTACATCAATACTAACATGAGATAACCTTTGACATCAAAAACCACAAAATCCAGTTATGTGCAACGTGCGTGAACTAATCTCTTGTTTTGCAAACATAAATGCGATGTGACTTACACTCCTCCATAAATACTACACTCTTTTTCATTTTTTATCATCTGCACGCATTTATTGGAAAGGAATGGCTCACTCTTCAAGGTTGCAGACATCGCGGTGGATCACACCCTCATCTACTCCAATGACGTCGCAAATTGGATTGTCGCTTCGATTCTCTTGTGCTCTTGAAGAGTGACGAAGAGGAGCTCCGATTTCAGGACCCGAGCCGAGGTCAATCGTCTTTTTTTAGTATCACATGGGTCGAGTGAGATAGTTACATTATAGCTGTTGGTTCGATTCATAAATCCGGGGATAGCGAGCTCCCGGAGCCCTGGACTTTGCATTCAATTTCTAGGGTTTGAGTTTCATCACATGCTTCAAGACGAACTCTCAATGCTTTAGCCGGTTGTAGGCAGCCCCATTTTCTCGACATTCATCAAGCGTGTTGTCAGTCGGGTGGTGGGGTTTGCTCTATCTCCAGCTGGGCCAAGCAAGTCCCTTCCACAGATTACCGCTCCCTCATTGGATTTGGGTTTGATGCCTTTGTCTTTATGGGTCTCGTCGGTTTCCTCGCTCGTTAGACTCACCATCACCGAAACCCCCTTATCTTTCCCGCTTGAATTGAATTGCGTATGTTGATGTCCTTGTCTAAGCCCACCACTTCTCCTGTCTTAATTTCTGTCGCCTGTTGCGTTTGCCTTTCTAAGCTTATTGCGGGCTATACTGTCGCTGCTTGGATTCTTACTGTTGGGTGGATCAGTGTGAGAGGGAGTGTCCCAAAGCGACGCAAGGATTTCAGGAGATGTCGAATTTGCTGCATCCATGGTGGAGCGCGTAATTATGCATTTATCACACACTAGTGCAGCAAGGTTGGACGCTTACCTTTGTTGCTGTTGTGAAGTCGAGCATAGAAATCCTACGTGTGTGGTTGGATACAAGTCTACAGCGTTTACTAATACTCATTCTTTTGTTGCAACATTTGGATCAATCACCAATTCACGTTGCAATGGCTTTGTTCAAGAAAGGGTTGTGACACTTCCATTTCTTGAAGTATCGCTGTCTGTTGTTCCTCGTGCTTCGTTGACTCTAGACCGCTCTGCCCCTTTAACCCACAGCAATTTCGTCAAATAAAGAATTAGATTTAGGTACTCTGCAAGTTTGGGACGGAAACTTAACGTGGAGTGCATCACATTTAGGTGGCAAGAGCATCACCTTCAGTGGATGGATACTTCCATGCTAGCCATCAAAAGCACTCAGGTAGTTCCTCCGACGAGCAGGGGTGAGCGATGGGCGTCCCTGTGGGAGTTGCCCTCGCAAATGCAAAGTGTGTGCAATTGCCCAGTCGGCCATTGTGTGCTATCAACCCAAGTGTACTCAAACACCTCTTTCAGTTTCCTCTTCCTCTCGTACCTTTTCATCGTCTTCTCGGGAGTCTCCATGGTCATTTCTCGGTAATCCGTGTTGCATCGCCGTGAAATTAGTATACAACAGGCCAATCTCTTTCCAACTATAATCCGATTTTACTCACTGCTCTTAATCCCTTCTAATCATTACAAAATGCACAAAATTTATATAAAAAGTCTTTCCCACATTGTCGTAGAATCGCGTCCATGTTTTTGTTACATGTCGGTATGAGTTCAAGCTTGCGCTCGTACACAGTTCATTCCCAGTTTCATGAAACAAAGTTTGTAGATTGGTGAAGTTTTCAAAGATCAAGGAATCATGAAACCGGCGGCGCGAGTAGACAAATTCGACAATAAAAGCCTGCACGAGCCCATGTCTGGCACAGGCCGATAATCAAGCTCACGAGAACCCAACGAACGTAAGCATCCCACAAAAGCAGAATTCTCCTAACAACAAAACCTAGAAGCACTTCTCAATCACTCCAGTCCCAGAAAGTCACAGCGCGATCTCTAACCTTCCATCGACCAACCCATCACCAAACTGTAACTTGAAGGAACTCATGGACATGTGAGATTCCAAGATCCAACTGCTGTATTCCATCTTCAAGCTCCAATCTCTCCCGATGCACAAACTGCCCCAAGAAATTGTGACTGGTAATACTTTACAATTGATCGGAGCCGCTGCTAATGCTGCAGAATGTGGAGATCGAATCGAAAAGTTTTGATGACATAAGTTGTCGGATCGTGAGGATTATTCTACACATCGGTTTGGGCACACGCCGATGTGATGGCAGAGAAGTTGCGAGAGGAGGTTGTTTATGGGTAGGGTGGAATTTATTGGAGGGAGAAGAAGGTGGTTGCTACACCCCAAACAGACCCATCCATCCAACCCATTTTTGCAACCTCTCCGCATCGAACCTCATCTGCAACGTTGAATCCATTTGAATCCATTGGACAAAAACTGAATGGACCGAAAGGACATTGCGTGTTTACAGGCACACGAAGAAATGGACAACAAATCCACCTCTCACATGGAATTGGATAGGAGATGTCAGAGCGTCGTCACGTGGACAGAGGTCAGAGCCTTGTGCCTCAGATGAAAACTGCCTCCCACCTGTGTCTGTCTGACCTTCGTCCTTTGTGCCCATCTGACCATCTTGTTCACGCATCTATTTGTGCATGCGTGGGGAGAGTGATGAGAGAAGTGGTTTGCCCAAGAGTGTGCATCTTCTTCAGTCATGTCAGTTTAAATTGGTTAAGAACTTCACGTTATCTCTTCTCTGCTGATAGTTCATGATATGTACGTATAGGGCTTGATTGATTCGATACGAAATTATGCAACTTTGCATGCATGATAGCTTCTGAACCAATTTGGTGTTTTGGTGAGAACAAGCGACGCTGATGCATCGTCGTCCTTGGCAGCAACTGAGCCCCTGGAGGTGAAGAGGTATCAATGCTACAAAGTACGTGCGAAGCAATGCAGAAGCAATCATTTTCGTAGCAGGGTAATCAATTGTTGACACAGGAACATTTTATCCCACTGTCAAGAAGCTGATATTGCTGTGAAGCAGCAGTGATGATGTACGCAAAGCAGCGATCCTTGCTGCGTGGACAATTTCTGTAAGCAGGGTGGATAAGAAGAAGCTGGTTGCAGGTACTGGAGTGGCACTGGACATGACCACACTAACCATCATCCGAGCTCTTCCAAGTGAGGGCGAACGTTTATACTATTAAATGTCGCAATTTAAATGGACATTGTTTGAAGCATAACCCTAATTCATTACGCTCACAATCTTTGCACTCATTAGCATCGATCTGAGCTTGGAAGGACTCGCAGTAGCAGGTACAAGTGTGCATGTGAACGGGATGAAGAGGTAATCATGCCTGTTGCAAAAAAAATCGAGAATCCAAATGACGGTTGTCAAGAGAGGAATTCCTCAACCAGGTGGACATCGTGATATGTGATGTCCTTCACGAAGATCCTGGTTTGTAGGCTTCGCAGCTGCTGAAGCGTCGACTGAGCAGGCCCAAGAGATACGATTGTCCATAGGACATTCGGTTACGAATCCCAAAACTCTTGCAAAGAGTTCCTCTTAAACCACCCATGTCACAGAAGTCTGCTTTCGACACTAATGTAATTTTAAAGCATCACCCTATACAAAAACACCACAAGTCTCCTGAACGTGGTGTATCTGTGTGAAATTTGTTGTCTGAAAAAGCTCGTTAAGGAACTCGTTGATGCTGATCGACTCGAAAGGATACCTCGTGTTTCTGAGGGGTGTGTCTATTCTTATGATGTTTTAGTTTGAAACCATTGCTGTTAGGGACGCCAAGACGTTCAGCAGAGCTCCCGTTTGAAATAGGGTTTGTTGCGGCTCTAACCACTTGTTGCGTTGGCAAACGGAATCTGAATGACCCTGCACTGATACAATCCGGACCTTGATATGCCCCGACAACTTACACCAGAGAAACTAAACACCGTTGCCAAATCAGCAGTCGGGGACAGCAGTTCTCTAAAATTCATGCGGCCTACTACCTCAAATCATGGTGAAATATATTGCGAAGCAACCGTGAAGTTTGTCAAGAAACTTTCCATGTTTTAGGATTTTAGGGCTTAGGGTTTAGGGGTCAAGAGACTTGGAAAGTTTCTTCACACAAACTCTTTCCACTGTGCACGCGGTGCAATAGCTGATAGACGTCAAAAAGTTAAGGTCAAGCTCCCATTTCAGTACAGAATTTGAATACAGAGAGGTCAGGTGTGTGTACTGTACAGATTATGACCATTCTGGATTTCGAACAGAGAGCTCCATGGCACCGCAAATACGTGGACACGTCACAAGCCCTCGATGAATCGCCGTTGCGGTGATCATCGTACTCTTGACTGGATCCAACTGCCTCGATCCGAGGAGCAAGTTAGAGAAATTTCACTGCGATTACAGGAGGGTTGTCTGAACACAGTAGGAATAAACTTCCGGACAACATGTCACAGCGGCAGAAGTGGCGTAATTACTTCTTTATGAGTACAATTCATCATGTGAAGAATCCTTTAGATTACAAACTTATCTGTTTGTTTTCACCCTCAACTAACGGGGTGGCATTCGTGGGTCAGCGACCTTAATTTTTGTGCTACACTTGCCAGCTACAAATGAGCTTCGTCATCCGCATTACGACACAAGCATACAACAAACCAGATTCCAGAATCAACGTCATCAGCCGCAAGACCAGATACTTTCACATCGTGCGCGAGATATGTAGCGACTCCTTGCTCTTGCTTAGCTGCAAATTTCCTAAATGAGGAAATGGTATATCTACCGGCTCAAAGGGACCGTCGCTAGCAACCTTATGCACCAAGAGAAGTGATCAAACTGTCACTTATGTATCGGCAGATGGGTTCATGCGGCACGAACGGCAAGACCAGGTCAACATGTCCGGCAATCCATCTTGTGCAGTACACGAAACAACTCAAGGGGAAACGTCTGCTACAATTGCCAGAAGATTGCCAAAACGGCAGGCACACGTCATCCATGGTGCACGGGCATGTAAGAAAGTGCCTCCGCTAGGTAGCTGCTGTGGTTTACACAACTCATCAGTTTCCACACCCGTACGCGCTGCAGACGCAGTGAGTGCATTGTAGAGTGGGACCCCAGGTTAAACTCAACCCCTCCATGAATCGACCTCTCTCTCCCCAAAACAAATCTTATAATACTCACGCAAGCTTCCGAAAACAGCACCCACAGTCATACTATATATAAATGTATGTGACATGACTTGGCCACATCTGCCGCTGCAAACCTGCGTGTAACAACGCCAGGGTCAAGCCAAGGGGGGGAAATATGCCAAATAGTTGACGAGAATGGGAGAAGAAATGTGAGAGATTGGACGAGTTCAGCAAAATTTGTCAGGACGGGGGAAGAGCCCCACAAAGCACTCCACACGTTGCAGGGGTTGCACAACCATTGCGAGTTCGGGCTGACATCGGCAACACCTGGTTGGCGGAGCAGGACGCTCCAAGGGCCACTTCGGCAAATGCGTGAAGCTGCCAAGTGAGGTGGCGGGCAGCGATTGCACAAGCTAAAACTTGGTGCAGTGTTGAACACGCGGGGTTGCGAGAGTGAAGATGCCCCCAAGACTTTCAATCCTGTTCCGAGATTTCTTCCTGTATTCACGCCGCGCATGAGGAATGCTAGCAACGGTATCTGCCATGTGTGCATCCTAGCACGAAATCACTGCCGCTTGAAATGGAGACGGAAATTTTTCCGCTATGTCCTGTGCGTTCATGGTCCCTTGGTGCCGGGAACCCTGCCCTGATTGCAGCGACCCTAATTGCAGATTGTGCGAGGATGTCATTCACTCATGAGGAGATTTGTCTGACATGATTATACTGTTTCGCTACCATTTTGTCCCTTATTCAACACATTCGAGACTACCGGTAGCTAGTTTCTGCCTGCCGGTTGTCATCAACTATTTCACGTATGGAGTCTTGAAGCTACATGAGAAGCTCCGAGAAGCACTTCAGCAACTTTGTTAAACAAAGAAATCTGGACAAAACTTACCGAGATTACCTGAGAGCAATAAGCTCCTGGCTTCTAACAGAGAATAAGAGTTCTCGGCTGACTGTACTGTAATTTCGCCCCGGACACTGCCAAGGTTGTAACACGCGTCCAGCGACATAATACCATTATGAGCAGGCTCTCTTGCCAGTGTTCGAGTTGTGCATGACCGTTTGGGGATTTAACTAGATGTGAGGGGAATTTGGATCCTGGTAGATGGTTTCCAGGTGAATCGGAGCTGGTGTCGGACAGAACTATGTCAAGTTCGTAAGTGCACAGTAGCCGCAACAAAGCCCGGTTGGTGGTCTTCGTTGATGGAAAATGTCATAACAGACAAGGAATATAAGGCCATTGAACATGAATATGCCACGCTTGTCCGATACGTCAACTAATTTGTGGTCCCCGCTTGTGTAAAGAAGGTGCTTCTGCTGAAGCTATACTCACCGTGGATTGTCTGACATGGAATCCAAGCCCATTGCTCGCAATGCTCGTTAACGTTTGCTGTTTGCATGATTGACACAAACCCTAAAGTGCTGGAAGAACGAACGTGCATGTCGGGGAGGTAACCTTTTGAGTTACAGTTGTCTGCTCATGGGCATCTTCATGGTTTGAGTTGAAACAAGAGGTTGTTTATGTGCATCGACAGAGGTAGACTTCCTGCACACATACAATGTGACGACAAAGAAATCTTTTATCTGGTACTTGGCTCGAAGTACAACCAGAAGCTCAATGCGAGGTCGTGGAGAAGCCATGCAAGAAGAAAGAGAGCAACAAAGCTGAAAGGAAAAACTCGTAATGAAAGTTGGTTACCGAATTGCGGCTTGGAAATTCTGACATTCTGTTGATGCTGCACTGTTTTGCAACCACGTCACACGGTGGCATTCCCAACAGACCTGCAGGTAGTTATATATCTGCCGAAAGAGCAACATAGTACTCAAAAGGATGAGGACATTGAAATATGAACGTCGCTGGATACAAAGTCCGTTGGGAGGCACAGCGACTTTCACACAAACGTGCGTCCCAAGTGCATGCAGAGAAAAATAATGCTGTATGAACACAAGTCAAAAGACAACATACCAGAGATGGAAAGGTGAGGAAATAATGCAACCAATATCACAAGGCGGTACACGAAGACATTACGTATAAATGGTAGCACAAAATTTTGAATGTTTATAAATGCTGAATCATGAGTTGATACATTTGGTTTTAGGATTTTCACAAGGTTTTCTGATCCCAGAAAACATCCTCATGCTAGCGCCGTCCACAAAAAACAGCACAAAGCTATCTGGAAAGATTAGCTTGCTCCGAAAGCGAGGTAGCACAGACCTCGAATGGATGGAACACAAGCGAATAGGATGGAACACAGGGACGAGCAGGTACAGTAACTTGTAACGTTCCTGCTGTCTGCCAATTAATGTACAAGCGAAGACCGCGAAAAAACCAGGCTATGCACAAAAGGATATGATTCCAGAATCAGTCCTCACCCACTACAACGAACACAAAAAGTCTGAAAGAAAAATTTTAATGCAGCAAATCAGCCGCAGGGATGAATGCTCCGTGGAATCCGTAGGGGACTCGAGAGGGCAGACTGACAGACGCCACTTGCTCCAGAGTGGGGGTGGCTGCGTCGAGAACGAGCAGTTGCGACTCCCCGGAGTCTTCATTGTGGCAAAATGCAAGCAAAAATCCATCATCTTCTGGGGCACTGGGGTCGGAAGTCCGTGGCACGAACACGGGCTCGCCGCCGTAACGATGCGTGCCGTAGTTGTGTCGGGCCACCACTTGGCCCGATTGCAAGTCCACCTTGGCGATGCCCGATACCTTCGGCCATGGTTCAACGATAGCGAGGTACATATATTGGGTCTTTACCCCTACGAATTGAGGGTTCATTTTTCCCACTTCTAAGTTCAATTCTGCGAGCTCGCGTTTGGTGGATGTTCCCGTGCGACGGTTGAGCCGCACCTCGGTCAAAATAGCTCGCGGCACTTCCGATGTCTTGAAAATGATATCGGCGGGGGTCATGGAGGAGCCAATAACCACCACTTCGTCACCTTCTTCCCACGCGTTGTACAAGTGGAAGAAAAAACAATCAGGAACTCCAATCCACTTCAATTCGTCCTCCGAGGTTGCATACTTGGGCATCACACCAAAACGCGGGGTCTTCTTCGGGTCTAGAACAACCGGGGAACCACCCGTCAGCATTTCCTTCAGGCGGAACACTATCTGCTGGTCGGGGATGACAACAAAGTTCTCCGTGATTGCGAAGTCATGCGTCATGGCTGCCTCGGGCAATGCGACCGGCACCTCAGCCTTCTTCTCACCGTCTGCCGAGAATATCAAGTACTTCAAATATGGAGCTGACAAAACGTTGTAACTCAGGCTGAAGAGCTCTCCAGTATGTGGATCAATCTTGGGGTGCGCGATCATGGAATGCGTCAGCTGTCCATGGAAATCATACCGTCCCACAGTTTCGATGTCATTGTCTTCCGTGATGCGCACTTCGACAGGCAAGTCGTCCTCGGAAATAGCCAGTAGCCTTGAGTTGAAGTATACAAGCCCTGCATTTGCCATTCCCATGCCTTGTGATGCATCCAAAATTCCGAACAAAGACCGAGCCCAATACATCATCAACTTCGCCACGCCGCCATATCCGTGCAGCTCCCCAATTGGCTTGGGGAAGAATGCCCTTCCATGCTTCTCCTCCTCCATGAAACGATAGGTACGCGTGTACCGACACGCATAGCTGACCGACCCTCCATTGAAGCTCACAGCATGCAACATGCCATCGCCATCGAACAGATGGTGACGGCCTGTTGGGAAAAACTGAGGGTTCGGGCCATTTCGCACATACACGCCTTCCAAGCATTCTGGAAGGTTGCCCTCCACTTCCAAATTGTGATGCGCGGGTGATTCTTCAACTGGGAAGAAATTGCCCTCCAGTTGCACGTGAGGATCCACTGTGGATGGCAGCGGTTCACGATTTCCCAAATGCAGATTCTCCAAATTCTTCTCCACGGCTTCGATCACCTTGTCCGCGATTTTCTGGGCGAAGTTGAGGTGCCTTGTCTTGGGTGCCAAGGGCTGCAACCGGGTAGTCGATGGCTCAGATGGCATTAGCTTCTCCGCGAAGAGCTTAGGAAATTCTACGGCCTTAGCTCTGCGGCTCGCCACCGCCTGTGGTCGACGATGACCATCCTCTTCTTGCTTCTTGAATCCTGGAAAGCAACCCTGGGTGGGGCGGATTCTGCTATTACTCCCTACTTTTGCGATGCAACCCATTGCCGATGACTTGACCGTGTTTGATTATTTGTTTTGTATCTTCTAATGATGAATCCAATCAATATGTTCTTGTTAAATGGCCACCATTAACCTCGCCACCATCTACATGCTCTACGTGTGTCATTTGATAGCGAACAACTGGTTCGCAATTCCTAAGTCACGGAATCCGTGTAAAACACTGACGACGAGAATTCCCGAGGAGGGTATCCTCCACCATGCTGTTCCTGACTGCTTCCATCTCTGGTCATCACGTTGCTCGAAGGTGGATTTGAGCTGCTGTGTCAACATTCACGAGAGCAGTTGCGACTTCCAGCTCTTTTACGGTTATAGATCAGTACAGGTTCTGCAACCAGGCAACCAGACCCTTGAACCAAATCAATGCTTCCGCTTCACGCGCCTCATACCAACGTCAAAGTTCCTGCTTCCTACTGATAGTGTGAACTCCACCTTTACACGGACCTGAATGTGCGATTCACTCCTCGCTCCAACAGTCCCCACTGCCAACGAGATTAAGAAACCTTTCGTGCTCTACTGTGAGAGACTGCCAATATGGAAGTCAAAACACGCCTACGTTCGCTCAGCTCAACTACTCGTAATCTTCGTGGGCCACTGCGTCGTCTTCGCTCCACGTAACTTTTTTATCAGAGTCACTACACTCTCCTCCACTACCACAACTAAAAACTCAACCCACCCAACTTCCGTGAGCGGCTCGCGGTTGTTCCCTACACTTGGAAGTGCACCCGATGCCCAGACTCAATATACAGCATATAACAGAAAACGGACAGCTTCAACGTTCCCCGAACTGCACATCTATCAAATTCTGAACACTCCCACAATACGCATGCTCCCACCCTTCCAATTGTCCGTCGTCTAGTCCCTAGAATCTCTACTACTCGACCCGGATCCTACAAGTACTCGTACATTCGCGAGATTACAACCGCATCGAGACGAGACGAGACGAGGCGAGTGATGGTCACGCGGGTAGTGAATCAGTCAGCAGACGCCAACGCCGGCTACTACTGGTTGTCGTCCCCATGATCACACACCCTTCCGCTGTGTGAGTGTGTGTGGTATCGCGTTGTCCTGGAATGAATATGATGCGGATGAACCCCCCCTAAGGGAACCCCCTGGTTCTTACAAGGGGGGGTGGGGGAATGTAGTGGGAAGGAATGGAATGGAGTGAAATGGAGCGGTGATATATCCTGGTGAATGATCGGATGATCGTGGTGGGCACGGTGTGAGATTACGGTTGTCGGAGTGCGACCGCCCTATTAAGATATGGGCGAGGCGCGGGGTGGGGGGGGGCTGTGAAGGAAGGTGCGCTGTCCCGAAACAACAGTGGCCTGCCTCTCCACTTCGGTATGGGGCCCAATTCCTGCCCCCTCTCCGTCTGCCACGCATCACCCCATCCTCCTCGCCTGCCACGCACCCAACGCTCCGCCACAACCCCCATTTTTTACTCCACCCCTGCTCGCTCCTCCACCTATTGCTTCACTTACTCCTCCACCCCACGGGCCCCATTCTCTGCAATTCCTAACAGAACCCAACATTACCCGGCAATCAACTGCAACGCCCAGCAATACCCACATCGTAGAATTTCGCCTTGTTACCCACTGTAGACAGGAAAGTTTACCTGCCGTCACCTTCATCCCAACTTCGACGCAAATTTATAACACTGTACGTTTCCCTGTACTTGTCCCATCTCCTCCGCCTTTCGCGGTGCCCATCACCCTCCATCGCCTCGTCCGATTATGCAGTTCTGTGAGGCCCCTAAACAACAACTCCGCTCTCCCCAACGCCCACCCACACTTGCCATAAATTCGCGGCTGCGGTTCGTATTGATTCCAGGAGAATCGGCTCATGGATGTTGCATGCAATCGCTTCGATTTCGCGACGTCGTCACGGTAGAGAGAGAGAATAAAACAGGGATGGAATTAGGGTTTTTGTGCCCACCGCAGGACAGTCGATGCGGAACCCCTTTTTTTCTGATTCTTCAGAAAGTTGTGTAAGAAACTGTTCAATTCCAACCAGATCATGTTGCAAAAACATTTCGCATTCTACGTTGCTAGAGTATTTTTTTTAATATTTATTTGTGAGGGAAAAAATATAATGTATGTCTCCACCAATGCATAAAATGACGCATTAGAATGAGAAAAATAGGGTCGTTGATGTATTTGAAACGATTATTTTTGTCTTTTTTAATCCAAAATCATGGTGGAACCACATATCAAATTCCCTTCAAAGTTCACTCTTACTTTTTTTCCCCCTTTAAAATACCTTTCTCCTGCGACAACTTTGTCCGAATTGGATGCTTATGTGTCCCCCCCCACTTTTCCTGTAACTTTCTACTTTTCCCCCAATTCATTATCCTCCTAAATTATTTTTAAAATGGCTGTTGTTTATTGAATTCATAGGCTGGCATTTGGAAGAATGGGGGAATTTTCTGTCTGCCCAATGCTTTTTCATGCAATTTCAGAGAATTTTTCTTTGCCAAATTCCAGCATGGATATGAATAAATAAAATAATAAATATCACTTTGCATGGTATAGAGAGGCTGATCGCCAGAATCTTTGTCTTGGGCTCTAATTTGACTTCTGGAAACATTAAACTTTACTATATATATATATATATATATATATAAATGAAAATGAAAAAAGGAAAATTGGCACATGAGATGAAATATTTCATGCAGCCTTCCACAGGGCTTACCAAACTTCAAGGACTTTGTGTGCTCTTGTACAACACTAATGAAAAAAGAAAAAGAAAAAGAAAAAACAAACAAACATAATTTATGAAGTAGTATCACAATAAATAAATAAATAAAATAAATATTTTAAAAACAAGTGAGACATATTGTACAAAATAAGAAAAAAGAAGGAAGTAAGAAGACATGTGTTTTCTAAGCATGAATGTTGCTTTTGCGGCATTGGGGATTCTTTGTTGCTACATACATACAAATGTATATAAGCACTAATAAGTGTAGACTCTTAAGGGGCATCTTTGTATCATGCAAACATGTGGAAAACGTCAAAAAAAAAAAACCTAAACAAAATCAAGAAAAAAAAACAATAAAAATGTGGACTTGTTGTTATGGTTATTATTTTTATTTTTTTATTTTTTTAAAGATAATGAAATTATCCATAAATGATGAGTTGGTTTGTGTTTGGTGATGTGGGTAGCTGACCACAAGGGTTTCCAACAATCCACATATTCTGCCCCATTCTTTGAGAACCATGCACTGAATCATGCATTTGAATATTGAACATAAACAGGAATAATACTTTGTACATATGGGGGGGTTGTCAAGCGAGAAACAACACGAGCTCTTGTCCTGAAGCACACTGAATGATAGAAGAGGGGAATTGGGATGCTGCTGCAAGCAAGGGTTTAGGGTTTAGGGTCTATGGTCATGTGTGTGTGTGTGTGTGTATACATATATATATATATATATATATATATGTCCACAAGTGTAGTAATTCATTAAAACTGGATCATGATCCTTTTATTATAGTGATACCAAAAAGAGATCTGTCCCATAATGGGCCCTCATAAACCAATGCTTCTGTCAATTATTAACCCACATTTAAATGTGTTCTGCTACTGTGGATGACTAAGTTACCCCTCCGGAGCATGAAATATTCTCCTTGGCAAGTCATGCTCCTAAAAAAGAAAAAGAAAATAAAGGAATGAAGGAAACAATGAAATTTTTCAAAAAAAAAAAAAAAAAAAAAAAAGGAAGGGAAAGAAGTAGCAAAATCAACAAATCATTTTTGTTTGTTTGTTGTAAAATGGGTGTGGGTGTAGAACTTCATTCTTCTTTCTTCCTTTTCTTTCTTTTTAAAATTTAATTAATTTATTATTATAAATTATAAATTATAAATTTTTAAATTTTTCAGTCATGCAAACATCACACCATCTCCCTCAGTGATTGTACCCAGATATCCATGGTAGGATGAGACAGTACTGTATGTATTTAGAGTCATATATGTGTCCAACACCATCAACAAATGAATTTAATGGCAGCAAAGAGATAAAAGACAATAAATGGGAGTGGTTTGTTAGATAAGGGTGAGGGTATTAATAATCCACACAACAGGAGCCATGTTGGTTTATTAGAAACAAAATTAAGAATAAGAAATAAAAATAAATAATGTAATATAAAAAAGGACCTGGACACTTGATCCTTCTTCTTTGTTAGATGTTCTTTTGTATCCATGTGGCAAATGGAATGTTGATGTGACAACAAAAGCACCCCACATAGATGCATGGACAAGCCCATTATTTATATACATATATATATATATATATATACGCATAATGTTCTTTTTCTTTTGCTTTTCCTTCAGTTTTGGTTGTGTGGACAGTGTCACTTCCCATCATTCTCTGTATGAGATTGGCAAAAGAACCATACAAGGTGTGGATACCAAACACATAATTTGAAACCTATCATTTTACTTCACTAAAGTAGATGAAGATGGTGATGATGATGATGATGATGATAATAATAATAATAATAATATATCTCATGAGTGAATATAGTAACTCATACAATGTTTGAAATTAAAATTTAGCATGTGGGTTCACTATCAATAAAACCAGTTTGATGTAAATAGTAGATGACCTAAAATCAGTGTTTGAGAAGAATGGTTCCTCAGTTGATTAGAACTTGTGGTCTCTCTAACAGATACCTATTTGCACCCACATTTATTTTCACCAACATGCATCATGTGCATATATATTTTATTTTTCCCAATGAAGAAGATAATGGTGAAAGGAGAGTGGTGTTTTATGTACCCCATAGAACTGAACCACCCTTGTAAACATGGCAGCCCATGATGATGCTGATGCTAAAGCCCATTTCTGGTGGTGCTGCTGAAGAATGGATCTCACTTCTACTTTAACCTAACTGTGTACATTTAGATTGCAGGGTGGGCAAGGCTCATTAGGATTAGGAGGTGGATTAGGTCACACAAGCATTAGGGTTGACTCAGTTGGGCAGGGATTAAGCCAAAGCTAGGAGAAAATGAGGTGCACCTTGCATGGTTAACAATGGGTTATCTGAAGACTCATGTATTTACAATTATTATTGACATTACAAAGACACCTCACAAGAAGCACTTCTAAGGATTTTTAAACTATAGAATTGTGTATCCTATCAAGCGTTGATTGTAATGTGGATGGATGAGAAACTAGATTGAGTAATTTGATTGTCCTTATGTGTTCACAAGATATCAATGTCAATATTTCGAGTATGGAAAATTTGGAATTTTTTTTTAAAGCTTTGGTTATTGATAAATGTAATCACACATTACATTTATATAAATGTAACACCATGTAAAGACTTGGACAATGAGAGTTGTTATAATAATTGTAATAAATGAAGGGAAATATTAACTTGACCCTTTTCAAAATTAAATTGTTCTAATTGTCTCCACTTTGCTTCTTATGTGCTGCATAGGGCTTTGCACTCCTTCACTTATCTCTAAATTTCTTGCTTGATGATATGTTGATTTTATGAGGAGGTGAAAGGTGTAGAGAATGGAACTCTTGGAAAGGATTATCAACTTGAAAAAAGAGCATATAAGATTGGTAATTTTGCATCAGAAAGAAGTTGGTGAATTGTGAAAAAGAATTGATAAGAGAGGTACAAAAAGAATTAAATTTTTATTAAAACATCAAACCATGAAAATAATCAACATCTATTTTGGTGGAGAAAACCATTTTATTTTAATTCAAAATGGATAGATTTAAGACATAGGTGCATTTATTTGATATCCCTCAACATAAATTTAAAGGGGAAGGGTTACTTAAACATAAACTACTAAATCTTTACACACATAATATCAACTTTGTAGAGATTTCAAATCTAAAAACATATATACATAAAAACATTTTACCTCCTATACACTACCTCCAAGTTCAAATACAACATGTGGAGACTAAAATATTATAATCAAAGTTTGACCTTGTGGATGATAAATACTTAGAATGGAATTCATTTTTAAAAAACAAAATATATTTTACCTCATTTCTTTTCCCCTGTAGCATTTTAGCTTGTTTTCATAATACAAAACCAATATACAAATAAACAAATGAATATATAAATGAATAATTTTCAATTTCAACAAATTATTGGCTTTGAAAGTCATTGTCTCTCACATTTTCTTCTAAACATGAAGCTATTCAAATAGATTGTCATTGAGGATAACTTTAAAAATAGTGAGACTTAGAGTTAAAAG